TAGCCACAGGTCCCAAATAAGGACCACTTCCGAAAATCGCTTAAATGCAAATATCCAATTAAGAAATAAAGATATTTTAAAACAAGTAAGAAATTATAGTCGGGCGAGGCCGACCATATAATACCATACACCTGTTACAAAAATGAAATGTGATTTAGTTTTCATAATAGAGCATGTAGTTGAATTGTACCTTGCCTCAGATATACTTAAGCCGTTTATTGTTGAATAAAATTGTGGACATTTAAGTAAAATTTTGAAGGAAAAATACGAAACGTATATGGTCAAATGGGACCCTATAATTATACAAAATTCATGAGAGTCATCGAGACTAGTATAGGAGTATATTGAACATAACGAGTATACTGAACATAATTATGAACTTAAAAGCCCTATTCGTCGGGTTCAGTTGTAAGGGGGCTAGGTGAAATAATGAACCAATGTTAATCATTTTCAATAGGCTTCGTCTTCGGTACCATAGAAGATGATGTGCTAAATTTCATATAATTATCTTCAAAATTGAGACCTGAAGTTTGATTACAAGCCCTATTTAGGGGTTCAGTTGTGTGGGAAATATTCATTTGAGACCCAACAAAGTATATATATTCTTGGTCGTTATGAAATTCTGAGTCGATTTAGCTATGTCCGTCTGTCCGTCCGTCTGTCTGTCTGTGTAAAACACACTCACGTTGAAACGAAGCAATATAATTTAACCAAATTCACCCAAAACATTCATTATTATCCGGTACAGTTTGGTATTGAAAATGAGCAAAATCGGTTCACATCGGGAAAAGTTATGAATCAAAATTTAAAACAACTCCGAAAAAAATAAGCATTTTGTATACATTCTGATGTAATTTTCTCGAAAACTATGCAAGATAATTTCATGAAAGTCATCACACATTCGTTTCTACACAAGATCTTGATTCCTGCTGAAAATCGCCTCCCAGAGTTTTTTGTTAATAACTTCCGTCGGAATGCTGATATCTTAATTTTACAACTTTGTCAATATAATTCATTGAGAGAAAAAATTTTCTGGATGGGTCGATAATTGGACATAGCTCTCATACAAGGTCCCCTCCCGAAAATTACTTAAACGCGCATAATTCATTACTAAATTAAGATATCCATATAAAATTTGGAATAAGTATTGCTCATATGCACAGAAATGTTACTGTGAAAGTTTTTTCCGATCGGTCCATAATTGGTCATAGCTCCCATACAAGGTCCCCTCCCGAAAATCACTTAAACGCACATAACTCATTACTAAATTAAGATATCTATATAAAATTTGGTACAAGTATTGCTCTCACATACAGAAATATTACTAAGAATTTTTTTTCCAATCGGTCCATAATTGGTGATAGCTCATAAAGTATTAACTTTAGAACAGGCAAAAATCACTTTTTAAGGACATAACAGTAATTTTGCCCGTTTTTCATCATTTCCCGCATTTTTTACCAGTTTTGGTGAAACTTTCGCAACGGAACTTTGCTAATAAAAATTTCTTACACTTTAGATAGCTAAATCGAAAATAACTTCGCGTCAGAATATACAAAAATCAGTTTTCAAGCACAAAAGTACCGATTTTCCCAGTTTTTCCCCCTTTTTCCAATTATTGGTAACCGTTTTGTTCCAACTTTCGCAACGCAACTTTTCTAATACATATTTCTGACACTTTAGAATGCTAAATCGAAAATATTTTCGCATTAAAATAGACAAAAATAAATTTTTATGATTTTTTGTTTCGATTTTCGTCGTTTTTCCCCATTTCCTTCTAGTCCAATTTTCGGAAAGTAATATAGCCTATTGACGCTTCTAGACATATATCTTTCTGTTCCAAATTTGAAGAAAATCCTAATATATATTAGGATGATTTTGATAGTCTCAGATATGATATATATGTACATATATTTAGAAATCCCAGCCTTAGGGGAAAAAAGCTGGTAAAAAGGGAAATCTGTATTTGCTGCGTAAAGGGACTCAATAAATGCATATCTTCAGACAATTCAAACTACTACAATGAATAAATAAAACAAATAAATAAACATATATATATATATATATATATATATATATATATATATATATATATATATATATATATATATATATATATATATATCGGTCCATATATATATATATATATATATATATATATATATATATATATATATATATTTGTTTACAGAAGTCAACGTACATCCTGGCTATACAATAAATTTCCGGTATAGGTACAAAACGCCTTTTTAACTGTTCGTTTTTTATCCAGAAACGGATTAAAACATTTTATCACTTTTTGAATTATGTAGTTTCAATTATAAATCTTTGATCTCATTTGCAGTTAGTTAGTTAGTTTGAAATGAGGATGTATATAAATACATACATCAAATCCGAAGAAATACACCTAGGCCTCTATCGGGTCTGTTGTGCGCTCCTTAACCAGTGCCTCAGGTGGGAATCGAACCCACCACCTCCGGTCTACCAGACTAGAACATTAACCACTAACCTGCCGGAGGCCACTCATTTGTAACATCGACATTTTCTAGGTCCTTATTCGAAAACGATCTAGACACGTCTGTCTGTCTGTCAGTCAGTTAGTAAGTCAGCCAGTCTCTTGAAAGAACAATAGGACCTAAACTATTGTTGCAGTTTGATTGGTATTCAAAATGGACATTTGAACATGGCCTCCATATAAAGTTCGCTTTAGAAAATGACTAACGATCATAACAGGCGTAAAAATACTAGTATTTTTATGAAATTATACTTAAATTTTTTATGAACCAAAATTTCATATAAATCGGCAAATTGAAATTTGCGAATTGTGTTAAGTATATTATTATCTTTATATTTATGTATATATATTTTTTATTTTATTTAGAAACTGTAATTTTACTGATTCGATAAAATTCATTTTGATTTCGATACATATTTAAAACGAAATTTTGATCAAATTGGATGATAATATGATCATGTATAACAATATTATGATAAATACAAAAATATAATGAAATATTATAATCATATGATATTTTACAATATACGATAATATGTTTAGACTACAATCATAATTTTAACCATAATATGTTGCACTTAAATTATGGTTACCACAACCATGTTTTTTCTCTGCGTGCTCTTACAGAAAATTATATCATTGTCAATAAATCGTTTAAAACCAAAAATAAAAGTATTAAGATTATATGCATTTCACAAAAATGGTTTGTTATTAGAAACTTATCACTCTCTGGAATTCGGAATTAGTTACAAAAATTGTCCGGATGTTCATATTTTGTTTTTAAATGTTATAAATTTGTTACTTTTTAATTAACTTTGAAAACCGAGCAAAGTTCAGGTTCGGCCGAACTTTCAAATTTACCGAAGTTCGGGTTCGGGTATTTCAGTCAAATTTTGTATCTACATCGTAATTTAGTAATAAGTAATATGTGTTTAAGAGATTTTCGGAAGGGAACCTTGTATGGGACCGATCGCACCCATATTATGAACCGATCGTGCAAAATTTTGTATCAATAGCTTCATTTGGTAATGAGTAATGTTGGTCTAAGAGATTTTCGTAAGAGGACCTTGTATGGGAGCTATGACCAATTAAGGACCGATCGGAAAAAAATTTCACAGTAACATTTCTGTATATAAGAGCAATACTTGTAGCAAATTTTATATGGATATCTTGATTTAGTAATGAGTTATGTGCTTTTAAGCGATTTTCGGGAGGGGACACAGTGACATTTCAATACTTGTACCAAATTTTATATGAATATCTTAATTTAGTAATGAGTTATGCGCGTTTAAGTAATTTTCGGGAGGGGACCTTGTATGGGAGCTATGTCCAATTATGGACCTATCCAGAAAAAATTTTCTCTATATGAATTCTATTGACATAGAATTTTAATTTGTAAAATTGTTTGAAGATATCAACATTCTGACGGAAGTTATTAACAATAATCTCATTTTCTATACCAAACTGCCTAGGACAATAGGGAATATTCTGGCCAAATTTTAATAATTTATTTCACTTCGAGCGTGTTTTACACAGACAGACGGACGTAGCTAAATCGACTCAGAATTTCATAAGTACCAAGAATATATATACTTTGTTGGATCTCAGATGAATATTTCTTGATGTTACATACGGAATGACAAAGTTATATATACCCTCTATAACCACTCATGATGGTGGAGGGTATAAAAATAAATTTTAATATTTTTCATATATTTTTTACATCATTTATTAATTATTTGGTTTTATTATTATTATTGTATTTTTTTATGGTGATGATATTACTCATAACACAAAATGTTGCAAGAAATACAAAATGTTGGAATAGTTTTGCCATAAGACGGGCGACACGCGTCATGCATTTCTACTTTGTTGAACCAAAAATGCATATGTTACACGCTTTAAAACTAAAATGTAATTCATCTTGACTGTTTTTTTTTTTTTTCTTTTAGATATAGATACATTTGACATTTGCACAGCGTACTATATACACCCGGAATATTTGTGGATAAATTATTTGACATTGAGAATTTAATCGGATCATGATGATAACGATGATGATGTGTAAGAAGACTTACTCAAAAGAATTGATAAATCGATTTACGACAAAACACATACATACTTTAGTTCTGTCCAACAGATTTTTAGAGATTTAGACTGAAGCTAGTTCAGGATTTCAACAATTGCTGTTCTTAGGAAAAGAATATGAGAAATGGAACCTATTTAAAGTTATGATGAAATTTTGTGTGTTGTACATACGAAATTTTTGTTTATTTTCTGCACGATATACAACAAAAGCAATACAAATGAAAATAATCGATATTAGTCCAGGCAGTTAAACGTTTTTAACTGAAACTAGTAACATGATTATTTTTTGGGCAACATAATCTTGCAAAATTTGTATTTAAAACAAGTGTAGCTCTTTAAGCATTTATTTATGAATAATAAACAATTTTGCTGGAGGAGAACTGAACCTGCACTTACTCACTTTATATTGTCCTTGTTTTTAGTTACCTAAAATTAACTGAATATTTTGTTGCAAAAATATTTGAGGACTGGCGTTAGTTAAATCTATATTCCCAATGACAAAAAGTGTTTTAAGAAATAAACTTTCATTTAAATTGTGTAAAATATTTTTTAATTTCATTTGCACTGTTTTTAATTTCTGAGTAATAAAATCGGTATATATACAAATGTATATATATATATATATATATATATATATATATATATATATATATATATATATATATATATATATATTTATATACATATAGTGTCCTCTTTTTATTAATTTTTTAATATTTATATGTACTTTTATTTGTTATTACTATTTGTATGTTTATTTAATTCTTTAACTTAATACGCTGTGTCATTATTTAGAAACATCTTAAAAACTTCATTAAAATAAAAATTCTTTTTTCCATACCGTTTTCAACTTTCAAAAATAATTTGTATATTTTAGATTTTTTTTAACCATAAACGAACTATATTCAATAACATCCAGATACACACATTACTGACTGGATTACTTAAGAAAAAATATAAATGTGAAAAATGAAAACAAATGAACGACATAAACATAGATGGATGGGATGGTTGAATAGATAGATATATACATATATTAGTTTATACTTTTCGTTGAACGTTTAGCTGTCGAAAGTGTGAAGAGTACGACCATATTTGCTATAGATATTTTTTGTAAGTTTTATGCACCCATTCACTATCAATTGTTGTAATGCAGGTAGGTATTCTAAATCCAGAGATGTCACAATGTTATGTTTATATGTATCTATATAGCTTACTCATAAAGTATCTGTACATAATTCATCCCTCACGAATCAGAATAATTAGTGATGTCAATTGCATTAAAGTTAAAAAAACGTGCAGTAGAATTGGTAGAAAAATCTTGAATATTGCTTATCGTTACTGTCGTAACGGAAGAACATAGTTTCCAGGAAAATGTTAAATTTTAGTTTGACATGTCCAGCTAAAAAATGTTCACGCCAAGAGTAACTGATATTTTTAGGGTTATAAACTATATACAACAGTTGCAGTTGTACTAACCGATTTTCAATTACAGCGAACTTCAACAACTATGGTCTTTGTTAGAGAAAAACATAAATTTGTTAAGAAATATATGAACAAATAAATTCAATGGTGGTTTTTTGTAAATAACATGAATGTCATACCTGTTAACTTTAAATTAAAGATTTAACCTCTGTTATGACTTATTCATTCTTCGAGATATCGTAACTTAAAACAATCATAAATTGACGAAAACATTTTTTTCGCCATTATTTTAAAGTAAACATACATACCCAGGAAAAACTTACATTGAAAAGTAATGAGTTAAAAAGCTAATAAAACCTCTTTTCACTACTTCTTCATTAGTATTTTAAGTCATTATTTTAACACTGTGATGTCATTGGAGGCAAGTACTTACACGCTCGTTTACAAATATTGAGTTAAAGAAGTACTTGCTATTTCTCTTACAAAGAAGTTGTTTGGTATGTTGTTTTATTTTTTAATAATAAAAAGATCCAGCTAGAATACGAACCAGGGACTTCGGTTTGTTAGTCAAATATTCTACTCACTGCACCACTGCTTAGCTATTTTATTGCGCGTCAAATAATGGTTTTCACATACAAACCTACTTTTGTTTTCTTTCTGGTAAAACGCAATTCTTAGCACGCAATTAAATAAAATGTGCAAACAAAATGACAAAGCCGAAAATAAAGTACTTTTATATCAGATTATAAGAAAGTCATTACAAGAGTACTTCTAAGTAATGCGGACGGTAAGTAGTAGTCATTGAAAAGTAAGTGGTTATGGAAGTACAACCCATTACCGAGATTTTGCTGGGTATGTATGCATATCAAAATATGTCAAAACAATTCCCATAAAAATATATAAGTTTTTTGACGTAAGTTATTAGATATTTGTGAGTAAAAGTATTTCTGTAAGAAAATTTTGGGAACATAAACATTATTTCTATGAAATAAGGAAAAAGTAATGTTGTTTTTATAATTAACTAGCTATACCCAGTGTGCTTTGCTACTCTAAAATCAATGTATATAAAAAAGCGTTTTACGATTTTGAAGATTCTAACTATAATTATTTTTCAGATATACATTTTTAGATTTTGGTGATGCCACGCAAATTATTGCAAGTTCGCCAATTTTTCCAAACGTTAATTTAGATTTTAATGTTGCCTATGAAAAATTTGAATAACATAATAGTTTAATTCATATGGAAGATGCCAAGGTCCCATTGAAAGTCCGCTCATTTTTCTCTAAATGTTCACATAAATGTCAAAGTTTTTCATGCAAAATTTTCTATCTCTAATAGTTTCACAAATATATGAATTTTTTATTTAATTAATTAGTTTCCCAAACAAACGACAACTCCAATTTAATTACATGGATGTTAAAAATGTTCTTGCAAAAATTGAGGATTTTTGCTATAATAGTTTTTCAAATATACGAAATTTTCTGTTTAATTCATATGGGGGGTTCCAAGTCACCCTAATAAAAGTCCGCCTATTTTCCCCAAAATGGTCAGATAAATATTAAAGTTCTTCGTGCAAAATTTTAAGAAGCTAGCTCTATTAGTTTCCCAGATAAAAGATTTTTTGTATATTTTATTCATATGGGAGGAACAATGCCCCCTCATTGGTAGTCCGCCATATTTATTACACAAAATGTTTACATGGATGCTAAAGTTCTTCGTGAAAAATTTGAAGATTCTAACTCTTATAGATTCCCAGATAAGCGAATTTTTGCATTTAATTCATATGGGGGTGCCACGCCCCCTTTTCCCTTAAATAATCATATATGCAGTTTTTGAGATATGCAACTTTGAATACTTATTTTGAATGTGGGTGTTGTACGTCGCCCACTTGAAATTTTGAAGTAAAAAGTAGCCTATAGTTCCTTCCAGACATACAGGCAGACTCTTCAGAAAAATCGGTCCGGCCGTTTAGCTGCCTATAAAGTCAAAACAAACAATCAAACATACAAACACACTTTCATTTTTATACCCTCCACCACCATCAGTGGTGATAGAGGGTATATATAAGTTTATCGTTCCGCGTGTAACACCAAGAAATATTCATCTAAGACCCAACAAAGTATATATATTCTGGGTCTTTATCGAATTCTGAGTAGATTTAGCTATGTCCGTCTGTCTGTGTAAAACACGCTCACGTTAAAACTAAGCAACGGATTATTGTTATCCTAAGCAGTTTGGTATTGAAAATCAGCTAAATCGGTTCACAACGTAAAAAGTTATGAGTAAAAATTTCAGACTGCCTAAAAAAAATTACGTTTTTTCCATAATTCTTTTGAAGTTTTCTCAGAAACTAACAAAGATATCAATTATGTTCAAAATCTTCACAATAGATCCAATATTTCCCATAGCCCCCATACAAAGGCATATATTCCCGGAAATTAGTTTATCGTTAATAACTACCTCAAATATATCGGTATCAACACAAAATTTTGTACACGCAAATATAATATGAACACAAATCATACTATCAACGTAGATCTCAGTCGGTCCACAAATGGTCATAGCTCCCATATAAGGTCCACTTCCGAAAATCACCTAAACGCACATATTTTATTGAATTCTAAAGCTATTGTGATAAAATTCGGGTTAAATATGTTTTGTGTACATACAAATCATTCTACCAAATTTTTCACGGATCGGTCCATTATTGGTCATAGCTCCCATATAAGGCCCACTTCCGAAAATCATTTAAGGGCTCATATTTCATTGTCAAATAAAGCTATCTTGATAAAATTTGACACAAATATGTTTAGTCTAAATATGAATCACTCTACGAAATTTTTTAAGGATCGGTCCATTATTGGTCATAGCTCCTATATAAGGTCCACTTCCGAAAATCACTTAAAAACACATATTTCATTGTCAAATAAAGCTATCGTGATAAAATTCAACACAAATCAATTTTGTCTAAATATGAATTACTCTGCCAAAGTTTTTCCGAATAGGCCCATAATTGGTCATAGCTAGCACGTAAGGTCCACTTCCGAAAATCACTTAAACGCATATATTTCATTGAATTCTAAAGCTATTGGGATAAAATTCGACAATAATATGTCTTGTGTACATTCAAATCATTCCACCAATTTTTTTACGGATCGGTCCATTATTGGTCGTAGCTCCCATATAAGGTCCACTTCCGAAAATCACTTAAACGCATATATTTCATTAAATTCTAAAACTAAAAGGATAAAAATCGACTTGAATATATTTTGCGTACATATAAATCATTCTACCACTTTTTCCCGGATCGGTCCATTATTGGTCATAGCTCCCATATAAGTCCCACTTCCGAAAATCAATTAAACGCACACATTTAATTGTCAAATAAAGTTATCTTGATAAAATTTTACACAAATATGTTTTGTTTTTATATGAATCACTCTACGAAATTTTTCCCGTATAGGCTCCCATAGAGGGTCCACTTATGAAAATCACTTAAACGCATATATTTCTTCGGATAATAAAGCTATCGGAATAAAGTATGAATTGAATATGTTTTGTGAGCATATAAATCGTTCTACCAAATTTTTTCCGGATTAATCATTTATGGTAATAGCTCCTATATAAGGTCCACTTCACAAAAATCACTTAAACGCACATATTTCTTTATCAAATAAAGATATATTGATAAAATTCGACACAAATATGTTTTGTGTAAAGTCGTAGCTCCTAAACATATAAAGTCCACTTCCGAAAATCACCTAAACGCACATATTTCATTAATTAATAAATCTATTGTAGTAAAATTCGACTTGAATTTTTTTTTTTGACATAATAATCTTTATACGAAATTTTTTCCTTATCGGTCGATAATTGGTCACAACTCCCATATAAGGACGTTTTCCGAAAATTACTCAAATGCACATTGACATTGACTAATATTGTTAACTAATTTTTAGAAAATAGGAAGAATTTCGGATATACAGAAGCAAAAGCTGATAAAGTACGTGGGCATAAACTTAGAATCTGTCGGGTGACAATTTAGCGGATAATTCTTTGAATACTTTTAATAAGGTTATTCACAGTTAAAAAGTTATATCAACAAAAACAAATATAAGTAAAAACAAGTAAGAAATTACCCTACACCTGTTACA